AGATGTATAACCGGTTGCATTGCATTACTTAGTCTAAATCAATACCTGTATGATGTTTTTGCGATATAACCATTTGGTTGAAATTACTTTTTTTCTACAAAAGGGAGAATAAGAACAAAAGTTACACCTCTTGTTGACAATTCATTTCTCTTAATCCGAAATATATATGAAGTTGCTGTTTTTACCTTGATGTAAGAGTGTCATACGTGGCATTCCAATATTAGGAAGAACTGTGGCAATACCCCAGATTTGTCCCAAAGTCTGTTGCTTTGTGTACAGACAATAGTGTTACTCCAGCATTTTCTGACTGTTGGTTTTTTGTACGTGGAAATTAATAGTTTTGATCAGTTTTAGTAAACTGTAATCATAAGTGAATTTTGACTTGATATTCATTAAAGTTTGTACTTAACCGGAAGAATTAAGAAGTGTTCAGATTAGGACAGATTGTTTTACGTGCGTATTTATAAACATTTCCATTTCGCTGATCCATTACTGGCTCATAGCAACCAATAAAATCGAAGGTTAATTTAGGTGTCTACATAAATCGCTATTTGATAATTTTGTAACACTTATTTGAGATTTGTGTTCACGGTAAAAGTAACAATAAAAAACAAGACAAGCAGAAGCAACTGTTGTTAAACTTAGGTTGCTATGATACACAATAATACCTTTTAATTGACAGAGTAATGGTTCCTTGCTGGTCATCACTCTGCCAAGCTCTGATATATTAGAACTTAATAAAAAATAACTAACTTTATATAGTAGAACTAAAAGAAAACTTATGAAATAACTGATGACTCCAGTTATATGTAAAACACTGACTAGGAAGTACTTAATGTCATAAACCTATATACCAAAACACTAAAATACATAATTATTAGAAAACATTCAATGAACAGTTGAGTTATCTCGCTATTAATGATATTTTTAACCTTGATGTTCACCATACTTTTTTATTATAAATTATCAAACTAAAGAGTATGAGGAAAACGTAATTCGAACTTCTTAACGAGGAAAAATCTTTACAATTAAACTAAGCTCTGGGACTCTTGTGCGCATTAGTTTTATTCCTTCAAATTTTTAGCACTGTATCGAAGAGATTGATGGCAGATATTTGGACATAAAATATCAATTCGTAAACACCTAGCTAAAATTCGCTGTGTTATATATACACTTAGTTGTTTAGTCTGTTAAAAGTAAGTTTTGGTAATTACCTTCCTCCGAGTTGGGTTCTAGTACCTTGTTAGATGTAAGATGAAGTCGGACAGTTTCGATGAGAGCTTGACGAAGAAGAGCCAATTCATTTTTCATTCTCATAGATAGCCTTTGACCAAAGCTTTGCGTAATGACACAATATAACTCTGAGACCATTCTACGGGTGATTATCGGTGCCTGAATAAGTCTGAAATATTAAACTTATATCATTTTATACCTAAAAAGCTAATGAGTAACAATAGAACTAAATTAACTTCTAAATCAATAACAACCACTATTAGATATAGAAAGCTCTCACAAACGAGTAACCTCGAGCACCAGCTATAGATTTACTGACGTCATGAGTTATGTTTGGTTTATTTTGAATTTCGCACAAAGCTACACGACGGCTATCTGCGCTAGCAGTTCCTAATTTAGACTAGAAGGCCAAGACCGCCAAGTCTTTTACCATCGGGGATGACCTTCAAATTATAACGCCACACGGCTGAAAAAGCGGGCATGTTTGGTGGGACGGGGATTCGAACCCGCGACCTACAGATTACGAGCCGAGCATCCTAACCACCTGGCCATGTCGAGTTATGAGGTAATAATAATCATAGTTACATTTTATGTACAACATGATTATACAACATATTTAACAAAATTTTATACTTTCACCAAGGAATAGGTTTTTATTTATTAAATTCAACTTTGATTTTTAGTTAAAGGTAAAACTATGTAAACTGAAAACAGCTTAAAGTTACTAACCCTCGTCTGTATCTATGTGCGACTTTTATGAGTAGTTCTTCTGACAAAGTCTGCAATTTTCCTTTGAAAGTGGTTGGGAAATATCTTACTGCCAAAAAGCTTTTAATAAATGAACCAAGTATTGTCATTCCTTTACAAGAGTTTCCTGAAATGAATTAAAAATATTTTAAACAAGATCTGAACTGAAAAAAAAAACATTCTCCATTAACATATATCATGATCGATAGACAAATAATTAAGCTTTACATGTATGATTATCATGAGTTTCAATTCCTGGTTAACACTACAATACACTTATTTTTAAAAGCCAAAGAGAGAAGATTTGTTTGTTTGTTATGAATTTCGCGCAAAGCTACTCGAGGGCTATCTGCGCTAGCCGTCCCTAAGTTAGCAGGGTAAGACTAGAGGGAAGGCAGCTAGTCATCACCACCCACCGCCAACTCTAGGACTACTCTTTTACTAACCAATAGTGGGATTGACCGTCACATTATAACGCTCCCTCGGCTGAAAGGGCGAGCATGTTTGGTGGGACGGAGATTCAAACCCGCGACCCTCAGATTGCGAGTCGAGCGCCCTAACCATCTGGTCATGCCGGGCCATAGAGAGAAGATGTGGAGAAGGTGTTCATCATAGTTAGTATATGGCCATATGAGATAATGTATCATTGTGGCATTTTCCGATGAAGATTGACTACTCTTATTCACTCTGAACTAAGGCGGTTATTCATCATGGCGCCTTTTTGGGGGGTCTGTTGGGTTACTCATGGTGGTTTCTCTTTAGTTTTGGTCGAGACAAAACTTCAAATATTCTAGTTCATCACACCTTAAAATAAAAATCCCATGAACTTCAAGATATAGAAGTTCTGAGAAAGAAGTATAGGACATGATTTATATTTTATTGGTTTTAATAGCGCAAAAGAAAGTGTTTAAGTAAATAAAGATGTACAGATACTTAGCTTATACTTGCGCGATTTACTTTTCCCTTGAAAATAAATTTCCAAATTATTTCAGTCAGCGAGTGCTTCTGGGAATATAAAGAAATCTTGTACTTCATCAGCCGCTGAATTCACTACTTCGTATCCCTTACGTTAATCTGCCTTTCGTTAAGTGTCGCTTCGACATGTCATGTGTAAAGCTGAAATTATAACCTTTCTTTCTTTCTTTTTTTTTTGGTGAAAGTTGGTTTGTTTTAAAAAAAATAATTTATAATTGTTCATGTATATGTGTGTTTCTGTGCGTACGTTTGTAATTTCATCTCCTTAAAGAAAATGTAAAAATAAATATGTGTGCTATTTATGTGAATATGTGGACATATAGAACAAAGCAACATGTGGGCTCCAGTAGCTCAGATACTTCGAAGCGGCTCTTGTCCTAAAAAAATAAATAAATGCACTACAAAGCAATGAAGAAGTAAATAAAATAGGAAAGAAAAAAACTAAGAAGTCACGAAAAAACAGCTGTTGCAGCAATTGGTTGCGTAAGTTTTTGTACTATAAGAACAGGTCACACAACCATAGCAATGAGAAACATCTTTTATACTGCCAGATATAATCTTCAGAACGTCTTTTCTTAAAAAAACCAAACATGTTTGATTTTAAAGTAGTATAAAATCACATATCGAATCCTGGACTTTCAAAACATTCCGCCATTCTTCTAGTTTGGTTTGAATTTCGCGCAAAGCTACACGAGGGCTATCTGCGCTAGCCATCCCTAATTTAACAGTAAAGGACTAGAGAGAAAGCATCTAGTCATCACCACCCACCGCCAACTCTTGGGCCACTCTTTTATCAACGGATAGTGGGACTGGGCGTCACATTATAACGCTCCCACGGCTGAAAGGGCGAGCATATTTATTAAAACGGGTATTCAAACCCGCGACCCTCAGATTGCGAGTCGAGCGCCCTAACCATTGGTCATGCCAAGCCCGGTTTTCCTAGTTCTGATAAGACTTAAAATGCTCGTAAGACTATTTATATAAATTTATATTGACGAATCGCACTTTATAAGAACAATGTTCCAAGTCTTAATCTTCTTTTCTTGAAATAACTTCTACTCATTCTGATTGTCTGACACCGAAGTTAGTATTGTAATAAGCTCAGCCAAAATGATGGAGAGGTCAATCTTAGAACACATATTGACAGATACCTACACAATACAAAGACATCGGATTCCCAGATCACATTTAAGCAGACCAAAAGTATGAAAGCCCATTGGGATTGTATTGGGGAACTTGACAGGTGTGTGGTGCAACAAAAATACTGACACCTCTTTCTTCGACCGTCTTTTGTTGTCTTTTTTGGACTCCTAAGTATTGTTTATTACCTTGTTAATGGTTCTGGGAATGTTGACGAAGTTTATCATAACGGCCTTTTGGGCTAAAGGATGCTGTTTCGTAACCGCGGTCTTCATTTTGCAGATGAATATGATACTTTGGATTGTATTAGTATGTGGTTGGGAGCTAGTTGCTGTTCTAAATCCTCCGCTGTGTGCGTTTTTTCGCTTCTATAAAAAAAACATTCAAGTCTTCCTCCTCCAAAATGTTGTGTCATTTGATTCTGTGTAGCTAAACAGTTCTCGCTGTATGAACATTTTTCTTCTGAATGCGTTTGTATTAAAATATCCAGCCATAATTTTACCCATAGTAGCATGGAACTTTATGAGATATAGAGGCCCCATGGTACAGGGATAATATATTTGTAATTTACAACTGTTGATCATAGAGACGGCAATCAGTCAGCAGCATTAGTCATCTACTCGAATAGCATTATTGACTATAAGATTTAAAATTCCCCCACAATTGAAAATCTCGAATATATTCAGCGGCGTATCGCGATTTTAACCTTCGACCTTCCTATGAGCAACCCGCTACAGAAACCATGAGAATACAAACAGTCCTTTTATATTCGGGAATTCGCCGTGAACAAATATAGATCATCACAATACGAAATCACAACTATGATATAATATCTTACCAACTGAAACAACTCTGTAAAATTCCGTTAATGCATCTGTCCAATTATTGACCGAAGCGTCACTTGGACATTCCACCACAACTTCAGTCGTAGTATGGGTGCAAAAAGACATTCGATCACACACTTCTACTGTGATCAAAAAGGATTGAGTGATGCTATGTCCTGGAAAAAACAAATAAAAAAAATTCTCACATTAGACATTTAAATGAACACAGAAATCCAAAAGCTCATAACTCATACAGTTTTTTAACAACTTATTTAATAGAAAAATCTTCAACTCAAGATTACAATCGGGTTCGTGTGTTTGTATGTGTGTCTGTGTTTCCACGCGCGTATCTCGAAAATTAATAGACGGACGTACACGAAAATTTTACACAAGATGCGAAGTCAGTATGGAACAGTTCTCCCCCAATTTGGTGTGGATCTAAATCCGGATCCTGATTCAGGATCACATTGAAATTTTTTTTTTTAATAATGGGGAGACAAGGCATTTTTGCTGTTTTGGGTTAATAACTCTGCAAAATATGATCGGATTTGTACCAAATTTTATGGTCACATTAAGGTTTAGACTCCTTGTCTCCCTACAAAAGTAATCCGGATCGTTGATCATTCTGGATCTGAGAAGGATTTTCTGAGTTTTCGAAGGTAAAATTTGGTGTTATCCAATATAAATGCATGCAATATGGAAAAATAGCGCGGGGGGAGGGGAGGGGGAGGATATGCAACCTCTTTGATTGCTTTTGTTGAAACTGGTTTTAAAGAAATTTATATTTCTTTCCATTTGTTCATTTGCCAGCGAATAAAATAAAACACGTTTTATAAAAGCAAATACCAACTCTATATAGCCGGAATAAACATTACTACTGAAATATGTTTAAAGCATCGGTGACAAGTTATTCTGGAAGTCTAATATTTAAAACGTTATGAAATCTTATTACCACATGGTAGTCTTACTCCCCTGAGAACAGGTAGGTCATGTTGAATGGTCCCTAATGGCCAAGTAATATCTGGTGTTTGTGAGTAACTATAGAAAAAATGGTAGCTTAAAGGATAGAGATTTGACTCTGTAGCCCAACCAGTGGTAGCATCCAGAGAAAATGTGGTGAATAACGCTCTTCCATAGGATGGTGAGATCTGTAAGGAGTGGTAAAAGAAACTGGTAACACTCTCTTTAATCATAACCTAGGTCACATAATTCGGTTGCGGAATTAGTAAATTTCCAAATATTGGCGAAGATATCAGAACACAGAATTGTTTGTCTTATTGACTTTCTAATTAGGAAATTTTTCACGTCTGATTGCTGTATTGGGGAAGTTCAATTATAAACTGGTAAAGAATGAGGCACTAAACGTACTTTCGGTAATTTAGAGTTCAAACCAGAATCGCTTCCATTACAAAGTAAGTGTACAGTACGAAAAGTGTCTGTCATGACAGTGAGCTAACTGGGTTGTACTCACCACGGGTATCGAATTCCATATTTTAGAGCTATAACCTACCAAGCTTACTGCTGAGCCAATGGCAAGCTCTGATTTGACAAAGTCTACAGAAAATAAGCTAGTAAAACTAAACATGTGACAGTCAGCCATAGATATACAAACACGCACACATACACATTAAACATGAAAACATGATAGAATATAGACCTTAGTGGCTCAGCAGGAAGTCTGAAGGCTTATAATGCTAAAAACCTGGTTTCGATAATCTGTGGTAAGAACAGCACGGATGGCTCATTGTACAGCTTTGTGCAACAACAAACAAACAAAAAATAGAACATATTTGTTGGAATTATGTGTTTAAATGATTAAACATTCTGTATTATATAAGTGGTGACCAGTGATTAACTTAAAGAATTGGAGCGAAAATCAATACCAAGAAACACTTAATCAAGCTAGGTACTGCGTGTTACGTTAAATTAGTTTATGCATATATATAAAAAGAGCACTTGCAATGTGCTTATTTCATAAACATTTTAACAGCATATTTGCATATGTGTACAAATAGTGAAAGTGAAAAGAGATAGTTGTAGAGCATACTGAAGATAAAACGTGACATATGGCAAATGTGCACAGATAGTTGATTTACTTGAAGTATTCCACGACGAGGCATCTCCTCTGTTGTTATGGTTATTGCCATATGTAGACATTCATATTCCGTTGAAGGGTCTTCAATTATTGGCTGTTGCCATTCTTTAAATTTAAAATTGCTTTCGAAGGAAATATAATTATTTGGAGTTTTTCCGCTGGTTGTAGTCAAGTAATAAACCATGGAGATGATTCTAAAAGCTCTGAAATCTAGAAAATTCAAAAAGACCTGAAACCTAGAAAATTCAAAAAGACAAAATATCAACCTACACAGATATTTACTCATTCGTACTTACTATTTTTAAGAACGTAGAAACACTAAGGAGTGATAAAAAGGATTTGCCATTTTATATGCACATGTATAGAAATTCGTAACAGTATTACTACTTTAAACCACAGTAACCACAATTGGTCTTTCCACGTTGCCCAATTTCAATCAGGAATAAAAAAAAACAAGCTCTAAAACATTCAGAAAACACCGAGCACAAACTAACTTATACAAACGTGTTGCACTGTATGTTTGTTGTTAGCGCTAAGATAAACAATGGGCTATATGCAATAGCCCATTGAGGGGAATCGAACCCCAAATATTGGCATTATAAGTACACACCAAAAATCTGATGCTCGCTTATTTCCGCTCTAAAGTCGCCACGATTAATACTGATGGGAATAGTCTAATGAAATTTATTAACTATTTATGCTCCCTTCGGTGGCTCTGCGGTAAGACTGCGGGTTTTCTCAATCTAAGCTTCAGATTTCGATATCCACTATGGGCAGAGCACATATAGCCCACTGTGAAGCTTTGCGTTAACAACAAACGAGCGACTGCTTGTGAATATCATATAAATAGCGTATCATATATTGAAAAAATATTTAAAGCTTTTACATTAACCTTTTCTTATGTTCATGAGGCTTTCTTTTGTGTTACTTAAGGTAACTAAGATCTTTGTGAACATTATTTGAAAGGGAATCATAGTTCCTATGGTTTGCCACACATTGAGTATTTCATGAGCGAGTATTTCATAATTTGATGGTTTTGAGATTTTCTGACAATATTCGATGCCATAGTTGAAAATCATAAGCACGTTTTCCTTTCTGTTTTATAAAAGGCAACAATTTCATAATAATATGATTAACCATTTTGAAATTGGCACAGACAGGTACTTCCAAATTAACATTTACTTACAATTATACAATTAACAAAAACATTTTTTTTTTCTGTGACTGTTTAGTGTTCGTTGATATTTTCTATTTCAGTTCTAATTTCTAAACATTACTATGTGACTAATGTAATTTGCTTTCTTTAAATCATTACCGAATTAAAAATTACACGATTTTGAAAAAAAACTTAATTACAAAATGTATGCTCAAGACTCGTTTCAACCACCTCACGGGACAATGGTAAGTTTAAGGAGTTACACAACATTAAAATATGGGGTTCAGCAATCTGTCTTTACTCTAAACAAGAAGGAATTCTCAATAGCCGCGGCATTAATTAGATCTCAAATCGGTCAAGAGATGGAGATATGAGTTAAAAAGTTTGTACTTGCAAAAATACTCGAAGCCATTCTATGAGCCGTTATGTCGCGGCTAAAAACAAACACTTATCATATTTCAGAATGTGGATTGCATAACCTCTTGAATAAATCTACTGATCTAATAAAAACTTACTTGAAAAATTAATGTATTTTCCACTCTTAATATATGATGCGTTTGAAATTTGCAAGTAGAATGGCTTATCTGGATCACTTTCATATCTGACCACAGATACCAAAATACTAGAATAATTTTCCATGTTTGTAATCTGGATAAAAGCTGACCTCAAGTACCTCCTACGTCCCTTGAATACCACCAGGGAAAAGTTGTACCTAAAACAAAATGTATTTACATTGAACATATGATGTTAAGTTACATTTATATATAAATCCGAATTAGCCGTTTACTTTTTACTATTTAAACATTTGCTAAACCTAAATAGGTACCAGACATAAAGCATTTCTTAAATTCAGAAGTTTACCATTGCTAAAGCCAAGAGTAAATTGTTTGAAGTTTTGTCACATATATAAATAAAGAGCTAAGTGTGTCTGTTAAAACTGGCTTACTCTATTCTGTCCCTTGAAGCTACACGTTAGTTAGAGATAATTAAAAGTCATCATTTTGACACGTTTATCCAGTAAGTAGATATGCAAATTTAATAAACTGTAAGTTTCATAATTGTACTGAAATCCAACCTTTTTTTTTTACCTTTATGATGAAAATAGACGCTAATGTATTTTGGATGTTCTCTTTTTCAATGCCATTTTAATGCAAATAATCAGCGTAATGTTTATTCTATCTACCTTAAAAGGCCTGGAGATTAGGCTGCTAGATTCGCAATTTAGGGTCGCGGATTTGAATCCCTGTCACCGAACATGCTCGTCCTTTCAGCTATGGGGCGTTATAAAGTGACAGTCATTCCCACTATTCGTTGATAAAAGAATAGCCCAAGAGTTGGCGGTGGATGGTGTTAACTAGTTACCTTCCTTCTATTACTGCTAACGTAGGGACAACGGCTAGCGCAGATAGCTTGGTTTGTTTGAAGTTAAACACAATGCAACACAGAGAGCTATCTGTGCTCTGCCCACCACGGGTATCGAAATCCGGATTCTAGCGATATAAGTCCGCAGACATGCCGCTGTGCCACTGGGGGGGGGGCGCAGATAGCCCTCGTGTAGCTTTGAGCGAAATTAAAAACAAACCAAACAAATCTACATTGACTTTTTCTTTTTTTTTCTTGAAAAATTCCAAATATAATTAAACAACAGAATATATTTTCTGGATTTTTCTTGTTGTTACTCACGTTGCTGGAGGAAGTAATCCACCTGGAATACAAAGAGATGATGAATAAACTTGATCTCTGATAACGTCTTCTAGTCTAGAAACATTCCAACCACTTGTGTAACATCCTATGTCTCCACTTAAACTGCAGCTCCACTCGTAGCTCAGAGACCCCTGACGGCTGCTAGGGTAACGTGATAATGACCCGTACAAACAGAAAGATTTATTTAAAGAAACAATCATGTTCTCTACTTGTATAATCGCCATAACCGGAACTTCTGAAGTTTGCAGATCTTTGGTAACTTTTGTCCAGATGGTTGGATCATTTTTGTCGAAAACTAAAAAGCGTAAAACGTAAGATGCTCATTAGAGAACAATAATTCAAGTTGAATCGAAAGCTTTTATAATAATAAGTACTACAGAGTAAAGTGTAAGAAATGAAGTGTTTTGTGCTTAATACAAAAGCAAACCACGTTATATATAGAGGATAACAGGAGCTTGTTTAATAACATCAGCTTTCTTCGTTTTTGGAATCACAAACTGAAATACTTCAGTAACTTATAATACTCACGGTGAAACAAATGAGGAAGGTATTGAGGCAGCTACTACTGCACACTTTACTGCAAAATGATTGGTAAGATTTTACTTGATGTTTCACCTTACGTTATGACAAAAAGGCTTGTTAATATATATATATATTTTATATATTATATAATTAATAATTTGTTGAATGTCAGTTCATTTAATTGATGATTTCTAGAAATTCACGTATTTTCACCTCTGCGAAAAAAGACAAAATCCTATTTGCTCATTCTATCCAATGGATAGCTTAACCCTATTTATAAATGTTTTTATATGTTTTTTAAAAAAAACATCCAGTTATTTATCACCAAAACATTTAATAGAGTGACTTTTGAGAATGTTTCTACGTCTTTCAATGTAAATAAGGATTTATTTTATAATAAAACACTTAATAGAACGACAGTAGCAACTTTGAAAGAACTTACGATTACTTGAACTAGGAAATTTTTTTTTGAATTGGTGATTCAGTTTAGATACATATTCTTAACTGATGATAAGATACAACTTTTACTGTTCGTGAATTTATTGTCATTTAATATCTAAATTACCCGTCTTCTGTTTCCAATCTAGAAGACTTAAGATATTTAATAAGTTCTATGTTAGACATTCCAGAACGTAAAAATTACAGAAAAGTGACATACCTATCACCTGCAGATGATATGTTATATTTTCCCTCACCAAATGGCCAGGTATGGTCAGAGTTGGGCCCCATTCAGTCGGTAACATATGGTCTGTTGGTCTCAGACTCCAAATGAACTAAAATACAAGTTTAGTCTTTAAAATTCTAACGTTAAAGATGTTGATTTCAATGTAAAAATAATCAGCTCTCCTTAGCTAACTATACATTATAACTTAGTGTTAATTAAATTTTTCAAAAGCAAGTCTTGAGAGAGATGCCAAGCGCCACTCTCAGAATAAATTAATTTTCATTTATAATTCCCAAATTTATTTTAAGGACCAAGAAAACTTAAGACTCGTTAATTGGTTTACTTAGGTACACCAATTGTTCAAATAACATTTTTACAAAATATAAAATCAAAATGTTTATTAAACGAAATTACTGAAAGTTAGAATTAAATTCAAACATTACGAAATGAAATCTAAGCTTCTTATGTAGAAAGATTTTTAGTTATTCAGAAAGTTTGTTTGTTAATAGAAAGAATACATGATATTTTGACTTGAGCTATTGATGATAAATTGTGGAGAAAATTTCACACAACTTTAAACAATTTCTTAAGATTCATGAAGATGATTCATGTAAAAAAATGACCTTCTGGAACATATCTCATTCTACACTTCTCTACTTTTGAAATATGTAGTTAAACTATCATTTTTTTTTAAATCTAAGTATACACAATCATTATGTTTAATTTATAACTTCAAATACAATTAATAAGCGTAGGAATCCAATAACTTATATTTCTAAATCTATACTGGATAGCCGATAAACATTTTTTATATATATTTCATTTCCAGACACTTTGAAACTGAATACTTACGCCTAACATATGTTCATTTAGTGACAACTGCTCATCCATGTCAACATGAACTGTGAAAGTGTTATCCTTCAAACTATCCAGTTTTTCTGGCCCAGACATTGTAGCGGTAAGCTTCTCGCCCTTTTTATACACAATGGTTTTCTTCCTCACATACTCCAGTCCAAGTTGAGAAACTCCGCGAATGATAAAGGTGTAACTTTCATGTGGTTGGAACTGTATGTATCCGAACAAGAGATAAATATGTATATTACCATTAACGGCTGTAACCTTTAGAGTGTGCAGGCTAAAGTAATTTAATTAATGTAAAAATAAAGTTAGCTAAATCGGTTTTCTAATATAAACGCTTTCTTTATCTTTTAGAAGTAAACCATAAATTTGATCAGATAAAAATAAGTAAATTAATATTAATGCATAATAAATCAACAAACTTCTCTTTTTTTTTTTGTTGTTGCCTTGAAAGACAGACTAACACCTTAAGGTTTCGTGCCCCCACCCAGTGACTCATTCGTAAGTCTGAAGGCTTATAACATTCAAAATCGGGTTTTGTTACTCGTAGTGGGCACAGCACAGGTGGCCCATTGTGTAATTTTGTGTTTCACAATAACATATGCTTTGATATTTAGTTTAATGTGTGGCAACTGCCTGTTGTAGAAACACAAGTGTAGAGGACGACGTTTCGAAAGTATTCAGCCTTTCGTCTAAAGAGCTGTTATGGACCAGCTTTTATCAAGAAGATCAACAACTACAACAAGGACCTTACCAAAGAACAAGAACCTGACCAACTACAACAAGAACTTTACTAAAGAACAAGAACCTGACCAACTACAACAAGGACCTTATCAAAGAACAAGAACCTTACCTATTACAACAAGAACTTTACCAGTTACAAAAAGAACCTTACCAAAGAACAAGAACCTTACCAACTACAACAAGGACCTTACCAAAAAAACAAGAACCTTACCAACTACAACAAGGACCTTACCAAAAAAACAAGAACCTTACCAACTACAACAAGAACCTTACCAACTACAACAAGAACCTTAATAACTACAACAAGAACCTTACCAACTACAATAAGGACCTTACCAACTACAACAAGAACCTTACTAACTACAACAAGAATCTTACCAAAAAATATATACTTTGTTTAGACCGTAAGTTATTAAAGGAAGATCACTTACATTTCCTATTTATGTTTAAGGCAAGGCTTGTGTGAATTCAGATTCAAACTTGGATTTTACTTCTTATTGTCCCGAACTTTCAATTAATTTTAAGAAACTTGACATTAAAATGTTTTTTTTTGCGTATAGGATTGAAGAACTTTGAAAACTTAACAACTCTAAAATATACATGTCAATTTTGAATAGTTTCATTTTTATGCCTTTGAACAAATGTTTAATTGCATAAGCAAACTTACCCAATCCACGGTAATATGAACATCGTTTTTTCTGCTAATTTCTATTTCTTTAACCATCGACGTACCTGGACAAAGTAAGGTTATTACGACAAAACTTTGTAATTTTTACATTAAGTTATAATGAAACGTGGATTTTATCTATGTCTCTGTATCTAAGCAACACACCATTTAATGTATATTGAGATATATATATATACCAAAATATGTTTTCTGACCAAGAATATTTAGAGAAAACGCTAAATACTGTAGAGTCGAGAGAGAAAATGTTATTATATACTCACTATTAGATGAAAAAATATTTAAGGTATTTTAATAGAATATAATTTCAAACCACTTTTAAGATATTATTTCAAGTTATACAAATTCTTAACAGACTTTACGACTTAGATATATACAAGTGTCATAGTATGACTTGAATATAGAAATTGAGAAAGATTTGAAATGGTTTTAAGTCATTCATCTGAGTGTGTTTGGTGGGTGGTGGGGGGGGGGGTAGCTATAACATGAAACTTATAAGAAAAGAAAATGCAGAATAAAAGGATATAACCGAGTTTTAGTTTAATAAATACGTTAATAAATATTTAATTACCATTAATTACATTCCAAGTAAACTGAAGTCCTGCACCTCCATCTCCAACGATATTGCCAATCCGAAGATTCACAGTATTGCAGCAAAAACTGTCTGGACCAAATACTTCAAACTTCGGAAATACCTATAAGTAATTCATTATTCCCGTGATTCAAAAATCAGAAGAAATTTCTGTTGTTTTTTTTTAACACCCGGCCGATTAAGATTTTAAGAAACACATATACCGTTATTTGTTTGTTTGTTCGTTTTGAATTTTGCTCAAAACTACACGAGGGCTATCTGCGCTAGCCGTCCCTAATTTAGCAGTGTAAGACTAGAGGGAAGGCAGGTAGTCACCACCACCCACCGCCAATTCTTGGGCTACTCTTTTACCAACAAATTGACAGTCACATTATTACGCCCCCACGGCTGAAAGGGCGAGCATGTTTGGTGTGAGGGGGATTCGAACCCGCGACCCACAGATTGTGAGTCGAGCGCCCTAACCACCTGGCTATGCCGGGCCACCGTTATTTGGATAAATATCCTATGAATGACCTGATGCGAGCTAATAAAGTTCAAAACTACAGTTCTTAGCTGGTCATGTGGTATGCAATTTCATGTTGTAATTTACGTTATCTAACTCTTATACAGGGCGATGTTAAATCCCTATATTTCGGGGAGGGGGGCATGTGTGACTAAATTTTGCCGATAAAATAGCGTGCTCTGAAGAAAAATATATTGGGCAGTTCTGAATATGTTTAAACGGAAAAAAGTTGTAAATGAAGATAAAGTGTTAAAACTTTCAGAACTGTCGGCAGACTAGTGTACGTCACATAACTCAATTAGGAATTTTATCACTTTTTGCCGGACACTTGCTGAACCTTTCTCGGCATTTTTGTTGTCTGCCTAAAAATTCGTCGTAGCAAGAAATTATTTATTTTACTCCAGAGATTTTCCCTAAAAGATTGATAAAAATTTTGCCGACAGAATTCACAGAAAACTGGATTTGTGCTTACAAATCCTGATCTTACAGATGATCATTTAGACTATTTTAATCACGATTTCTGGTGATATTAAGTCCCAAAGAATTTCGAAGGTTTTATACTTCTATTTCAGCATATTTAAGGAAATTATAAAACTAGTTTTATCAGCTTAAATAGACTGTTATCGAATTTAGCAAACAGTTGTGACTCTTTAGCACAAAGGCCTTCGTGTAATTTATCGGTTATGCCTAATAAGATTATTCAATTTTAATACTATTTTTGACTTTAAGAAAGCTAGGCGTGGTGTAATGGTTAACCTGCAGGCTGCGTATCGGAAGATCTACAATTCGTGGTCGTTATATGCTGCTAAACACACTCTGCATTTTTAGCTGTAGGCGCTCTACAAAAGTGACAGTCATTCTAGTTATTCGGTTCATCAAGCATTCATAAATTGCAACGTAACCTGTCATGAGCCAGGTTTGCATTTGGGGCATTACTGCTGTAAAATTAGAATATCATTCAGAAAAAAAAGGAAAATAATATTTGTTTCCTCAAGCTTTCTTGGTAGTACTAAGAATGGATCTGGATACATGAAATAATTATTTTTTTTACGTTCAACTTCTCACTCCAATTCCGGGGCTAAAACCCCCCGCAATCTCTCACAATAATGATGGAGGTCTAAAGGTGGGTTTTTAAAGACGCTGAATCCGAATCTGACATCGGAGTTTGTGTTCCCTGGCCCCTCGTATCTTCGGGGAGCCATGTCTGAAATTGTATTCATACCCCCCCCCCCCCTCTCACCAGCTAGCATGACCAAATATGGCGCAAGTGTTCCGTCACCATTGGCATATAGGTTCTTTTTTTTCCGGATACGAATCCCCTTTGAGGTTGCTATAGAAGTAACTGGTAATAATTAAGGAGCTTGACTGGTACATTGGGACCTATGTGAATCATGATGGGGCCTTTAAACTCCGCAGCGGAGCGTGGTTGCTTTCTTCTAATCAGCAGAACGTGTGAGAAATAAGGTTAGGGTTTAACAATTTACGTTTTAAACGTCTCTCAGTGGCATAGCAGTATGTCTGCGGACTTACAACGCTAGAAACCGGGTTTCGATACTCGTGATGGTCAGAGCACAGAAAGCCAATCGTGTAGCTTTGTGCTACATTCGAGACGTTAAATGCTTTTGAAACAATTTTAAGCAACTTGTTAAGCTTAAATATTGTTTAACATTGGGCTTGTAATGCTTGATTAGATGGAAAGTGAAATTGATTATTATTTACAAAATAAAGTAGAAAGTACTTACCGGTGTTCGAAGAACTGTAAAAGAGCCTCTTATCCCATCACCTACGAACGTTGGACAATATTTATGAAAGATATAATTTACTTCCGAAAAAGTGAAGTTGAGCATCTGTGGTAACTCCACACGAGTAGAAAGATAGATATGAATTTTGTTTTCTTCAATAGTACATTCTTTTTCTGGTAGGAGAATATCAGATTTTTTTTTGTGGTTTTCGTAACACCTCAAATAACTTTATATCAAATTTCTTATACAACCTTACCTCTATTTTTTGTTTAATATTTACATGTTTTTCATTTTAAGAGTTTAGTAAGTAATTTTGGGATTCAAGTGGGTAAATTTGCAAATTAAAACATGATTAAGAGAATACGTGTATTATAAATGTTTTCAGACTGCATATATATATATATATATATACGATATACGGGGTGTCCACAAAGTCCTGTTCCGGTTTTAAAAATTTTTAGAACAAAACCAAAAGGGCTAGAATTATGCAGCTTTTAGTACCTTGTTGCTTAATTAATGAAGTTTTTTTCTTGATTTACAGATTGTAATCGGAGTGTCCAGTTGCTGATGATTGAAGTTTGAACTAAGATGGCGACTACAAATGAGAAAGATGTAATCTGTTGTGTAGGACTTTGTGTACCGTTAATCTTGGTAGCTGAAGTTTACTTGAAGCACAACGAATAGACTTTCTAGGGCTGTGTTGGAACGTCTTCTGGACATTAGCAACGGTTTCTTCAGACATGTCAATCACACTTCCTGTCTCCCGAAAGTTGCCATATTGTCGGCGGTAATTGTCACTGATCTCGACTCTGCAAACCAGATGACACTTTGAGCTCTGTCCTGTATAGTTGCCATATTCGTTCAAACTTCAATCATTAGCAACTGGACACTCCGATTACAATCTGTAAATCAAGAGAAAACATTCATTAGTTAAGCAACAAGGTGCTAAAAATTGCATAATTCTGGCTCTTTTGGTTTTGTTCTTATAAACTTTTAAAACCGAAACAGGACTTTGTGGATACCCTGTATATTGAAATTATGTGAAGTTTTTATTTAGTCATATGCGCAGCTTCTAAAAACAAAATTCAACATAGCTTGTCAAACTGTAAAGCATGATCTATTTACTTATTTAATACTTTTACTATCTGCAACTGAACTGTTTTCTTACTTTGTTGACTTACAAAATTAACACAGTACTATAAAATTCTTGCAATTGTAACATTTAGTCATCACACGCAGTTGCTTTTGTAGATTAAAACATCCATAGATATTATTATTATAAAACATAATGAAAATGTTGGGAAGAATATACACAACACTCGTTATCGTTTAATCATTTACTGTAAAGGATAACCAAACATATACACAACACTCTTTATCGTTTAAACATTTACTGTAATGGATAACCCAACAATTCGCAACACTCTTTACCGTTTAAACATTTACTGTAAAGGATAACCAAACATATACACAACACTCTTTATCATTTAGACATATACTGTAAAGGATAACCCAACATATACACAACACTCTTTATCGTTTAAACATTTACTGTAAATGATAACCCAACATATACACAACACTCGTTATCGTTTAAACATTTACTGTAAAGGATAACCCAACATATACACTACAATATTTACCGTTTAGAAATATATACTGTAAAGGATAAACCAAAGTATACACAACAATCTTTACCGTTTAGACATATACTATAAAGGATAACTCAACATATACACAACACTCTTTATCATTTAGATATATACTGTAAAGGATAAACCAATATATACACAACACTCTTTACCGCTTAGATCATACAATGTAAAAGATAAACCAACATATACACAACACTCGTTATCATTTAAACATTTGCTGTAAAGGATAACCCAACATATACACAACACTCTTTATCATTTAGACATATACTATAAAGGATAAACCAACATATACACAACACTCTTTACGTTTAGATCATACAATGTAAAAAATAAACCAACATATACACAACACTCTTTACCGTTTAGATCATACGCTTCAATAGTAGAGGGAGAGAAAATCTTCTTACAGTTGTACGCGATATTTGAAATGGGAATATTCAACTCCAACTCCACCTTGCGAATGTATTCGTTCATGTAGGTGCGCTGGATTTTATGTGCTGGGCTTCCAATTTGAATACGTACGCTATTAGTTTTGCTGAAAGAGAATTAGTTTCTAGTTCATATAACGTCGTTTCTTTAAATAACATACGATAATTGTAACATTACTGACATACAGTGTACTAATATTACAATTAGTAATCAGTGATGTCACAAGATAATATTGTTAGTTTTCCTTTGTTGTTGATAATGGCCACATCATTAATCGTTACAATTAGTAATCAGTGATGTCACAAGGTAATATTGTTAGTTTTCCTTTGTTGTTGATAATGGCCACATCATTAATCGTTACAATTAGTAATCAGTGATGTCACAAGGTAATATTGTTAGTTTTCCTTTGTTGTTGATAATGGCCACATCATTAATCGTTACAATTAGTAATCAGTGATGTCACAAGGTAATATTGTTAGTTTTCCTTTGTTGTTGATAATGGCCACATCATTAATCGTTACAATTAGTAATCAGTGATGTCACAAGGTAATATTGTTAGTTTTCCTTTGTTGTTGATAATGGCCACATCATTAATCGTTACAATTAGTAATCAGTGATGTCACAAGGTAATATTGTTAGTTTTCCTTTGTTGTTGATAATGGCCACATCATTAATCGTGAAACTCAACATATTGTTCTGTTGTTAAGTGCAAAGCAACACAATGTGATCTGCCCACTGCAGGAATCGAAACCCAATTTTTAGCGTTATAAGTCTTCAGACTTTTCACTGAGCCACCGAAAGAGGCAACTCGACATACACGGAATAAAAACTGCAGGTGTTTGACCTAATCAATATTTAACAATATTATACTTGTAGAGATTTGATCAACAACGGAACCAAAAAAACAAAGGAAACTTTCATCTATGGGGTTTTGACTCATGTTTACTTCACCATACAGTAACTTATATTAATGGTGAAATAAAAAGGACTCAAAACCTATAGATATTATATACACTTCACCATTATAAGAGGCCTAATTGTATTTCTTTGGTTTGCTGACCCAAGCTGTGCTGATGAGTCTTGAATAGACAAAACTGCAGTCCACAGCAGAGGGCAAAGCCAATCAAGGAATGTATTAGGCCTCTACGTCACAGATTCTCTCTTCAATTTCACCTCTGGTGAAAAACAAAATAAATCTGTAATACACACACACACACACACACACACACATATATATATATCTATTTAAAGAACACTTTTGTTACCATATAATTTATTGACTATTTTTGTTGTCTAAAACAAACAAATTTATTTCCCCTGTCATTTTATCTAGTTTTTTTTAATAATTGGTTTCATATTAACCATTCAGAAGACATGTTTTCTGATGATGATTTTTATGGTTTAAAGTATTGACCCAATTATGCCGAGTGTTCGCAAAGAATTGTTGTTTTAACATTTTTGTTTGTATCATCCTTATTTTATGCGATTTCCATACCTTAAATGCAAATTATTAAATAATTTTGTTTATTCTATGGAGTATTTGTGTTTCTCAGTACGTTATAACAACAATATCAAACCTCAAGAACAGATTATAATATCTTTAATCATTTAAAAACTATATTTTGCATGACTTGTATTTAAAACATAATATATTTGTTCTATCTTAATTTTCTACTGCAAACATATGATGAAAATCTCCAATTTTACAAGCTGTGATAACTTCAGCAGTTTTGTTTTGTGAATTACATTGGAATTTTATTATTCAAGTATGCAGTAAAATGCAGACAGTGACAGTAAATGAATATAGGTCATAATCAGTCAAAAAACCTTACCAGATATCATAACCGGTGTTGGAAAACATCAACCTTATATAAAATTTTGAACAACTGACCAGTGAAGAAAGATCACACGAAAATAAGGTGTTTGTCAGTTTCTTAACTGCTGGTTTAAAATTTGGTATTGTAGTTACACACTTCGTTTCAAACTTCATATTAGCTTCTGTGACCTCTAGAAGAACCTGAATAAATACAGTATAAATACGTTATTTTTAATCAATCATCTAATACAGATATACTCTGAGAAACGCAAGCTGAATGGTACCTGATTGTGTGTGAAACCTGAAATATATTTATTGTTTGTTTGTAATTAAGCACAAAGCTACACAATGGGCTATCTGTGCTCTGCCCACCATGGGTATCGAAACCCGGATTCTAGCGTTGTAAGTCCGCAGACATACCGCTGTGCCACTGGGGGGCGAGATATGTTTATGATTTTATAAATTACTTTAAAAAAGAGGCTTATATATATGGCCATAACTAGAACGTTTTCGTTTCTTTGTAATGCATATGATGAAAAAAAAACGGTCACTACTACCGCGCACTTCGTACTGAAAAACAGTACAAAAAATATATTCAAAATATCACTTACTTTAATAGAACAATAATGTTTTCACAAATTGTTTTAATTTTTCATATTTTAAGCATGTAATTAAGAAGAAAGAAAAAAAACATTCTGCATTAAAAGAAGGACGAAAATATAATAAATGTAACTGAGTTAGTACATGTTAATTTCGCATGGTTGATGTTTAATGATATACATTCTGTTAAAGTTATTTCAAACGTAATATAAAAAATAAGGTTCCTTTAGTTCAACATATTATCAAAATTGTTACTGTAACTTATTGCTCTAGATTTTTGGTCTGCATCTCTACACGAGTAACTTACTTCTTTGTTGCCATCAATATATAAAACCGTTGAACTCTTAGGAGTAACGGTCCATTTGGTGGAGTTGTAAACAATTATACCGGTTCTACTATCGCTCCGTAAGTCCACAGTCGAATTGTGTTGAAGCTCAGCACGACAGAATATATCATATATACCCTCTGTTGTTTCCTGGGAAAAGTTCCAATTCAAGGAAAAATATGCAATATCCGTAGATTTGATATTTGGCATCACTTTTACGTTGACTGGAGGATTCATCTGGTAAAATGTAAAAATTCAATGGTTATTTTCAATAATAAATGTAAGTACAAAATGTTTCCAAAAGTGGAGAAAATAATCCCAAGAAATTTGATGCTGGTGCTTTGTACATCAGTTGCACTGGTCACTTTGAATTTTGGGTCAAGATACATGCCCATATCCTCACATGTTTCATTTAAGAGAGTCTTTTAATTTACAAATGTGCTGCCAACATTGATCGATGTGTCTTAGAGGAATTAGCGTGAGACATAACCATAATACCAATGGATGAATTAAGGAGAAATCACGTAACAAAATGAAGGTGTAATATAGCAATGCTCCAAATAACTCTTTGCAGTTATTCAGTTCTTGGTTTAATGAAAAAAAAAATGAATATTTTATCACATTCAAAACTGTACTCAAGTTCTGATTTGCGACTAATCAACCAAAATGACTCTATACAACTGAAACACGATGTTACTTGAGAGTAGTCCATATGTTAACAACTGAAACACGATATAACCTGACAGTAGACCATATGTTAACAACTGAACACGATGTTACCTGATAGTAGTCCATATGTTAACAACTGAAACACGATATAACCTGACAGTAGACCATATGTTAACAACTGAACACGATGTTACCTGATAGTAGTCCATATGTTAACAACTGAACACGATGTAATCTAACAGTAGTCCATATGTTAACAATGGAAACACGATGTAATCTAACAGTAGTCCATATGTTAACAACTGAAACACGATGCAATCTGACAGTAGTCCACATGTTAACAACTGAAACACGATGTAATCTGACAACAGTCCATATGTTAACAACGGAAACACGATGTAATCTGACAGCAGTCCATGTGTTAACAACGGAAACACGATGCTACCTAACAGTAGTCCATATGTTAACAACTGAAACACAGTGTAATGTTACAGTAGTCCATATTCTAACAACTGCAGGAAGGCGGAGTGGAAGAACGATATGCAGTTTATTTCCATCAGATACTTGGTCTTTAGATTTATTCTTTCTTTCTTTCTTTGAAATGCCCTTTGAACCTGTTGCTATGGCAACAACAAGAATAGGGAAAGTGTCTTGACTGTCATTAACTCTTTGTGTTTAGAAATGAGCACATAATAAATTCGCCAGAACAAAAATAGAAAAGTATATGTGTTTTGATTTTTTGAAGTAATGCTTCACCTCTTTATAGCACGTCAATATCGGCTAGTATATATATATAACATCTATTGAGCAACGGTAAACTTACCATGTGTTAAACGATCGAGGTTCATGTTTTGTTTTTGTTATATTTTCACAACTGAAGATGCATGTAGTGGTAGCACGTTTAGCTTGTAGTTTAGAAGTGGTTTTCTCAAGCTTAATGGTAATAGATTCTGGTATTCTAAGGTAGAATTATTCCGGTAAATGGAGAATGACACAAGATCACATTTGTTTAGACAGTAGTTGGTAATACTACAGGTGTTGTAGGTTTAGACAGTAGTTGGGAATACTACAGGTGTTGTAGGTTTAGACAGTAGTTGGTAATATTACCGGTGTTGTAGATTTAGACAGTAATTGGTAATATTACAGGTGTTGTAGGTTTAGACAGTAGTTGGTAATACTACAGGTGTTGTAGGTTTAGACAGTAATTGGTAATATTACAGGTGTTGTAGGTTTAGATAGTAGTTGGTAATATTACAGGTGTTGTAGGTTTTAGCGTTACAGTGATATTTTATTCGACAGCAGAGCCTTCTAGTGGTTAATTCAATATATCCCTGATGCACTCCGGGCACGTGATGTCATATTCCTGTAGTGAGTTATTCAATAGATGTTGTTTGTCTCTAAAGTTGAAGAGCCTTTTAAATGTAGACTCTGTTCATTTGGATATAGCTGTTTGATTATTTTTTTTTGTTAATCAAGTATGAAACAATGCAGGGTATGGTCGAAATATTTTCATCAAACTGTGGCTGCTTTTACCAATTTTAAAACATTCTTAATATAACATTCATTCTGTAGAAAGTCTTCCAAAAATAGGGTAAACAATTTTGTTAACGGTTAATCATAAATGTAGGCACTAGAAACAATTGGATTAACTGGGCATCTTAACTTGTGAATCTTAAAATAAACCATTAGCAGGATTTATGACCCTGTTTTTGAAAGAGCTTGTACATAATGAATATTTCTTAAGGACACTTTTTTTGTTGATAGCTTAAAACAAAAACAATTTAATGATAACATTCATTGCGCATGTTTTTGCAAATATACCTTTAAACGAAATAAGTGACTTATTTTTTTCTAAACTTTCTGTGTTTCCTTAAAGACGTTTGGTTAGAGTCCTATTTTAAACGTTTTAAACTTGTGTATTGCAGGAGATATGTTGATGCCGCTTTTGTGATATTTAACAATGTTGAGTCGGTGAACAAATTTCTCTAGTTTTCAAAATGGTAAACATCTCACTATATAGTTTGCTTTTCTGTTGACACTCAACAAGCTCTGTTCGTAGATGTTCGTATCTTAAATAGCCATGATAAACGTATCACTAAGATGTATCATCAACTCACTTGTGCTGGAGTTTATTCACAGTTTGAAAGTTTCATTCCTTCAAATTGTAAAGAAAATATGGTTAAAACCCTGTTATACAGAACCTTTAAGATATCAGGAAATCAAAAAATTTTTAATTAGAAGTTTCAAATATTAAAAAGTGTTTAAAATAGGTTGTTTCTCGTTCCTATGTAGAATAAACCATACCTATACTGAAAATTGTTACTTGAGTCAAGCCCTCCTTAGTCACTACGTTATACATAATTACGAATTAAATTATCAAATATCTTTATCCAAAAGTTCAGTTGAAATGCGTCTTTATGACAGTGTGTAGATTAAAATGGTTCTTCAACTTCGAAGACAAACAACATCTACTGAATACTTGGCTAGTGGTATATAGCGCCAGAGGTGTAACTAGATATATATATTAAACCAACTCTGAAATGCTCTGCCGTCGAATGAAAGAATTGTTTGTTTGTTTTGAATTTCGCGCAAAGCTACACGAGGGCTATCTGTGCTAGCCGTCCCTAATTTAGCAGTGAAAGACTAGAGGGAAAGCAGCCAGTCATCACCACCCACCGCCAACTCTTGGGCTTCTTATAACGTCCCCACGGCTGAAAGGGCGAGCATGTTTGATGGGACGGGGATTCGAACCTGCGACCGTCAGCTTGTGAGTCAAGCACCCTAACAACTGCTGATCCTGAATGAAAGAACACTGTGGCGCTAAAAACCTACAACATCAGTAGTATTACCAACTACTGTCTAAGTGAATGTGATGACGTGCCTATATACTTCCAGTTTCCTCCACGTCATTCTCCATTCCTGGTAAAGATCCATCTTTAGAATACTGTATTCTCTTGCCAATAATTTAAGAAAACTGGTCGTAAAGAATAGAATAGAACATAAACTTTGATCATTAAATATGAAGTAGATTAAAATTCTTGAGTGTCGTACCGTCGAGATTATATGTAACTTAAGCCTAATATCTCATAACAAGTAATGCGTTCTTCAAGGAAAAGGCTGTGGATTAATAAACTTTACTATAGGTTTAAACCCCTGTCAACTGATGACTATTTGAATTACTGTTGAAATCTAATTACGCACAACAATAAATTTGAAGAACAAAAATACGATACTCTATATAATAAGAAAAAAGCGCTCAGGTTATAGGATGTCGTATAAAACAGTCACTGGTAAACTAAAGTGAATAAGACCAAGACTCCTAAATAAATTGAAACAATTAAAATCAATATCTAAGTTTGAAATTCACAGAGCTGGTAACTTCAAGGTCGCTTTAATAAACTATGATACTCGAACGTTAAAATGAACACAAATGATATCTGAGCAATACGTTTATCATTTTATGTACCTTAATAATACACATCACGATTAACAAAAATATGTCTGCAAAGAACCAATTAGTACGGCTATTAAAACTGCTGAATCTTATATTTATTCCTGGCCTTTCTTTCTGTCATTTATATAACAACAAACTAGGAAATAAGATTTTCCCTTTGTAAATAGTTACCTATAATAACTCAGCAGTACGCCTAAGGGATTATAACATCAAAAATCCGAGTAAGATACCTGCAGCGGGAGCAGTATGGATAGCCCATTTTGTCGCTTTGCTTGATTGTTTGTTTGTTTTTAAGTTAAGCACAAAGCTACACAACGGGCTATCTGTGCTCTGCCCACCACGGGTATCGAAACCCGGATTCTAGCGTTGTAAGTCCGCAGACATACCGCTGTGCTACTGGGGGCTTGTCGCTTTGCAGTTACAAAGAAACCCGTAATTTTACCTAAGGATTATTACTATTAAGTAATCTAATAATATTGCCTTTTACTGAATATAACTGTAATAATAGCTCTTTTTGTATAATATCATAGTTAGGTTTTGTTTGTTTGTTTGTTTTAGAGCAAAGTTACATTGGGCTATCTGCTGTGTCTACCGCGAGGAATTGAGCCCCGGATTTTAACGTTATTAGTCCGAAAACTAGCTACTTATAGTTGCGAACTGCGAATTAGGAAGACTAGTTTTTAGAAAATGTTACTTACAGCTTGAAGTTTAGGGATTAAAAATGGTTACCGGTGTGTTTTCTTTAGATATCAGCCAACATCCAGAAATAGATTTTATTTCAGTATACAAAGCTGAAATGTATACACTCATTTTCAAGCACGAACTAGACCCACTGATATCGATGAAGTTATACCAAACACCAAACGATGGACAAGCTTGAAAAATAAATAAAAATCATGATTATCTATGAAGCTCTCCACATAATTAAAACAACAAAAGACAATTTTCTGTAGAATATATTCTTACTACTAGGAAATAATCTATCTTAACCATTTAGAAACAGACATACATCACAGTAACATTCCGAGTCCTGGTCTGAAAACAGTATTTACACATTAGCATGTATATATATAGAGGCCTAAAACTCTAAAGTTGGAAATATTGTGCTAAAACACTGATTAAAATAAATTAACTAATTTTCCACGTTGATTTGAGCAAACGTTCTTCTATTAATGTGTTTTATTATAGCAAAGCCACATTGGGCTATCTGCTGTGTCCACCGAAGGGAATCGAACCTCTGATTTTAGCGTTGTAAGTCAGAAGACTTACTGCTGTCCCACCGGGGGACTCTTCTATTAATACAAAGTTTGAAAGTGCCGACAAGTAGTGAATGAAAACAATATCGAGGGCAATAATGAGAGAAAATAACAAACAACAACTAAAAACAAACCAATAAAAATATAGTCTGCAGTTAAAATAAGCTGAAGTAGCAGGTCGCTGCTAATTCAATTCTACAAACAAATCGTTGAGCGAAATAAAAAACATTGTTCTAGAGCTTATTACATATTGTTCGACATATTTTAATTTGCAAGGTTACTGTATCTTACTTTGAAACAGTACATGTGGCATCACACTATTTTGGAAGGGGGAGGGGTGTCTCAAAATGGGAAATTTAAATCATCTTCTTTTATCAAATATGTACAACTCCACTTTATTTTCTAAAAAAATCATGTCTAAATTATTATTTGGCTCTGATTATTCTAAATAGAATTCCATTAGATGATTGGTTAACTCCCAGTACTAAGTTATTTAAAATAAAAATGTCCCATTATGTATATTCTAATTACTCTATGTTTGGTTTAATATATGAATAATTGTTGTGTATAGTTGTTTTTGTATTTTTTGTTTGTTTTTATATAGCTACTTATCCATTATGGCAGTAAATTTATGAATTAATAAGAAAAAAATCTAAAAAGTGTGATTTGTAAATTAAATTCTAACGACGTTCTAATTCAAGTTCAGGATAAAGTTCAGAAGAGTTAAATTGTGGTTTATTACTTGATATTAAATTACGAATATAACTGAAGATAAACACATAATTGTCAAGATTTGTTGCTTTTTTATGAATAATGTTTTACAAAAATAAAGATACTAGTTAGCCATATTTGATGAAAAATTAGCTCCAATAAGGATGCCTATTACCTGTTTAAATATTTTATCATTAAAGGCTATATAGTTATTATATATATACAAAATATAATGAGATTTTTACATTGAATATTTAAAAAATAATATTTAGAAATAACTATATTTTCATTTACAAATTCATCTATTAAATTACTGAAGATATTTATTATATTTTAAAATTTAGTTTGGTGTATAAAGTAATTATATTTCAAAATAGAGATGACCGAATTCGAGAAATGCAAAGATTCTAAGCATTTCAGTACTTGTGTATTGTGTTTCAATATCCAGAGTCCATGTTTCAAAAAGCTAAGCGATTTTAATTTTAATTTGATTTTAGAAAGTAGAAAATATAAGATTTTGTTTAGTATGATAGCTACAGGTTTGGTGATAGCTTTTAATGAATTAGTTTGAATGAATGAGTTTATGTAATTTAGGGATTTCGTATAAGAAGGGTAAATTTAAATATTTATAATCAATAGGTATATTGAATTCTTAATAATTTTCAATAAGTTGTTAATAATTTAATTTTTTCAGATGTAAATTTAGTAGAACACTTTGTAGTATTAATTTCATTCATTATACTGGTAAAATCTATTGCATATAAATCCAAAGCAACTATATTAACTTTATCAATTGGTTTGTTTGGAATTAAGCACAAAGCTACACAATGGGCTATCTGTGTTCTGCCCACCACGGGTATCGTTGTAAGTCCGCAGTGCCACTGGGGGGACTTATAAATTGAAGTATTAACAAACTGTTTTATAATTTTTCTTTCAAAAGAGGAAATGGAATATATATATAATATGACTTGATAAATTTACGTAATTTAGCCTTTCTTCTTATGCTGTTTATAATAAAATATTTTTTCTGAATTTTAATAACATATTCATCAGTATTTTCTTTATATTTTATAATTGTTCATTATTTTCTTGTTCAATTTATATTCTGAATTTAATCACATTTTTTAGGTTATTTATTAGATCAATATCTTTTATCACCAGTAATAATATACTTATGATAAGAATCCGTAAAATTATTGATATTGTACTCACAAGGTATATTACGAATATTTTCTGGATTAAGACTTTCAGCAAATTCTTTATAATTGAAAAGACCCTTTTGATATATTATATATGAAATTAATAATTGGTTGTAATTCTTTTATCGGAAATATTTTATCTTGAATACCTTTTGTATGTTTGAAGACATAAAAGATCATCATACACTTTATGTTTAAATTCTATAATAACAAACGATTTTCTACATTTACTTTCTTAATATTATTACGATAAAGAAATATGTCCGACTTTTATCTAAATTTAGTTAAATCCAAAATAAGATATTTAATATTTATACTTTCAAATTCAAAACTTAACACAACACATGACAAATATATATGTATATATTAACATTTAACCTGAAAATATTTTTAAAACATCCTTAATAATGTTATTAATATTAGTTTAAAGAGTATCAGAGTGATTACAATTTTTTTAAAGTTAATCCATCTTAAATATTGTTTACCTTTTCTTCGTTTTCATTTCTTTTTCTTATTATGAACATCAATACAAAACAAATGTCGAATGCAATTATTTTTGATTAACTATTCAGCTATTTTACCTTGGAATCCCTGGTTTAAACCACAATGATAAAGAATTATTTTATTTAATATAAGATACGATTTTATTTCGATAAGTAAATCAACGTTATAAACTTTCTTTAAGATAGTAATCTTTATACGTAAAAAATGATGTATATTAAAATGGTGTATTTCGATGGGGTGCAATACACCGCTTTTTTACTTTATACTTGAGAATTAATTTTGCTTTAAGGATTTATAGTTTGTCCTACACACTTAATACCGCATATACCACATGTTAATACATATATTACAATATTTATTTTACACATTGGTGCATTATTAAAATGACATTGATAATATGTAGCTGCTGAACAAGCTAAGCAGCTAAACTTAATACAAATATTTTTTTTTCCGTTTTTAAAGTAGCTGACACATTTACCCGGTAAGTAGCTTGTTACGCTACGTACCAGTAGACAAATTATTGTCAAAGGAAAAAGTAGAAATATGGCAGTAGTTCCAGGTATTCCTTAGAAAATGATTTATTCTTTATATCAGTCTTGTATTGTTCAGAATATATGACTTGCAGTTTTCTTATACATATATACAGAGGATTCAGTACTTTATATTAAAGCGGTCTTGGAACACCACCACGTCATTATAGTCCATGTCACCACGTCTGATCGTCTTTATCTGACAATTCTCAATCTTGACAACAGCCCCACTGCGTAGGTCTCATTGCAAAGGGCTCCGTTGAAAGGCTATCATATTCAAAGCACACCCCTCTTATTCTCCCTCAGGACTTTCAATAATTCATCCTGTTTCCCAGTGCCCGTTTCAACATTTTATTGGGTTTTTGATAAAAAGAGCTGCCAGTTCTACTCACAAAAGTAAGTAAAAATACTTAACTAGACAAATCTTAATTTAAATCGTGTTTGTTAATGTTTTTTTTTGTTTGTTTGTTTGTTTGTTGCTAAGCGCAAAACAGCATAAAGGGCTATGGCACTGCTTCCTGCAGGTATCGACACAAAATTTTTAGCAGTATAAGCCCACATACTTACCACTGGAAGGCATGTGTTAATGTTCTGTTTCACAAAAATATAAGTCTCTCTTTGATGTCATTGGTTTTAATGATGTCCAGTTGAAATGATATATTGTTTTGTAGGAGTTCCCGTTTGTTTCTGTTAGTGAGAGCTTGTCAGAGAGTAAGTATCTTACAGGAAGTTAAAATGTCTTACAACGAGTTTGTCGGAATTAGACTGTTTGATGTCTCTGACATCTTCCCAGGATCCTTTAGTTAAAGTGCGAACTGCTTCATTTATTTACAAATGACACAATATATTGTTGATATTGAAGTACTGAAAAAGTTACGAGGTAAGTTGTTTTTTTTTTTTTACTTAGACCAACTTTCATTTCTCAGTGTAGTAGCTGATGACGTAACTCTTGTATTATGGGTTTAATTTATAGGATTGCACGAATATTAATTAGTTTGTGTGAGTCTACTATGTACTAAAAATTTATATTGAAATACCAAAATAAGAAGCCTTATAAACCGAGCGCTTTCGAAAGGAAGACCGTTCAGTGATATGTGAATGGTAAGTGGCGAAGAATATTTACTAGATAAGGTTTTCTATCGTATGTTTGGTTGTTGTAAGAATGAGTTGCTTGGCTTCCTTAACGATGCGTTGTACGTAGCCACGGTTATGGGAAAAAGTTCCTATGTGCGTTAGTTCTTGAACTATAATACGTTTCATTCGTGCGTAATCAGCGTACCCGCATGGTAAACTGTGATTTGGTTATGTTACCTATAATCACATATCATGAGGAAGGACGAATTTAAAGTTCGAATCTTTTAGTTTTGTGTAGAGTTCATTACATAAGTCTAAATACATAGTGTTGAACAAGAACATACAGTACTGCGATGCATTATATACATAAAAGATATTATATGTTGTTTGTATTTATAAGATTGTAAAAAAAATAATATTATATTTAGAAGTTTGATGTATTAAGCACTTTTTCACAAGTTCCCTTAATCAGTTTTTTCTTATGGTATTCAAATTAATATTACATACATCTGCTTCGAAGACAAACAGATAAAGAAACAAACAAAAAATAGCCACCCACCTTCAACTGGTGGCGTGCAATGTTCACAGGCATCTAATAGCCATTCACTGCGTTGTTTTCCATCACATCTCAAACAGTCATTAAAACTACATTTTTCACAGGCATTTATGCCGTAGTTTATAGATCTGTTAGTTTGGCCTTGAACACAGTGTCCACATCTGAAACATAACAAAGACAGATTTTACTACTATTTGGTAAAAATAAACAATAAAAAGCATATTGTTAAAGGTATTTTTATCATATCTGTATTGTTAAATATATTCTTATCATATATGTACTGTTAAAGATACTTGTATCATATCTGTATTGTTAAATATATTCTTATCATATATGTACTGTTAAAGATACTTGTATCATATCTATATTGTTAAAAATATTTTTGTCATATCTGTATTGTTAAATATATTTTTGTCATATCTGTATTGTTAAATATATTTTTGTCATATCTATATACCTCATCATACGTATAAGACACTTTTTTATTATTGTTAAGAACAAATACACACAATGGAAATGGTGGCAAATAAGATCTAAATTTTGTCCATAAGATGATGTTTATAAGACTAGATAATATATACAATGTTTCTACTGCCGTTTCTTAAGAAAAAGTTTTTGTTCTTAAATGACTATTTTTTAAATATCATTAGAAATATCACTAGTAAGTTGTGTTTTAAAGAAAGAAAAAGCCACCCATAAGCCCGTTTTTAAATAGTTTTATCAAACTAAATGTGTACACTATATATATATATATTTCTAGAGTTGGAAATTTGTGACATTAATAGAAATAAAAATATGTTAAGGTCCCATCAAATTATAAGATAGCTGTTTTTAAGTTTCTTTATTTTTCTCTCACCAGAGTCCTCCTCAGTCGAGTAAAGATGAGCAGCAGTTAGAAAACTAAAATCCAAAAAGAACTACGAGGTAGGTAACATTAAACATTATTTGATACTGATAGAGTTGGTAGGGTTTCTAACAATTAGAAGGTAAAAATGATCTAAGGTTATCCTAAGTGGGAAGAGAATGGACTTAAAATTCGTTTATTCTTACCATTATCAAGATTATATGAATACTAGTAAAGCTGTTTAGAGTTTATTAGAAAGTATAACCCTTTAACTAACCACCTAGCGATGAAAGAATTAAAAACGATCGACTTCGTTAAAACCTTTAACAGAATTATTTTTAGTTATGTTAGTTTGTTGCTACATAATGGGCTATCACCACCATCGGTATCTAAATCCAGATTTTGGCGTTATAAGCCTTCAGGCTTACCGTTGAGTCACTGGGTGGGAGAATTTTAGTTGAACAAAGTTCTCGTGCTACAATCAAGGCAAATGTTTTATCAACAGTCTATTGGTAACAGGGTAATATGGGCACAGTTTATGTTTTTCCTATCGAGGATATTTTTGTTGGAATTGGTTAGAGTTGGCAGATTAATTAGCAATTGATAATATAAAAACATAATATTTCAAAAAGAATCCTTACCTATTGATGAATGCAGAACTATTTAAAGCTCCGTCACATCTCAGAAGAGATTGAGTTTGGCGCCTAAAATATTAAACGAAAAACTAAATTAATAATCAGGGAAATTTTGAGGAAGAAAACTCGCATCAAATAATAAAAAAACAAATACGTTTTCAAATAACAGCCAAAAGATGATGCTTTGATATCTCCATTGAATTGCAGCATATTTATCACATTACATGGAGAGACCACCAAAACATTCATTAGAATACTCAATTCAGAAGAATCCAGGGTTGTATTAACAAAACATATACAAAATAATATTAATCAATTACAGTACACGAATCAGACCATAACAAACTATGGATACACAGTAACGTGATCAGTGTAACACCACGACCAAATGAAGAATCGTAACACCCAAAGAACTAAGCTGGCCTAGTCATATCTGCGAGAAAATATGGAGTAGTCATTTTCTATTACACTGAGGAAATTTTAAAAAAAAGACTGGTCAAAATACGAGCTGCAGATATGAACGGTCACTGTAATACTAAGCAACCGATAATAGAATACAGATTGTTTAACTGTTTCGATTCTACGCGGTGAACACGGCAGAAGATAGCTCGATGTAGCTTTGACCTATACAATGTTTGAAGTTAAGCACAAAGCTACACAATGGGCTATCTGTGCTCTGCCCACCACGGGTATCGAAACCCGGTTTATAGCGATGTAAGTGCCACTGAGGGGATGACCTAAATAAACAAGCATATAAATACATATTTTTAAAAATGTACCGTACTTAATGCTTTTTTAAATATATATATTTAGCTAACGCAAATTGGTGTTAGATTAAATTTGGATTTGTTTATGAGACTAGAAAATTGAAAAAACAACAACAACAAAGAAAATTAGCGTAAATAATTAAATTAAGACCAAATAACCTTTGATGAATATTATCTAAAACGGTGCTCGTAGAGACGATGATATCTGTACTGGTCACGTTCTTCGAACCAAGGGTGTAATTTATCCTTCCAAAATCAGAAAAGGTATGGAACCCTAGTCATGATAAATTAACAAAACACTAACCTTCAAAATATAAAAAAACAAGACAAGCGTTAATAAATGTTGTTATTCTTGTAACTACTTTGAAGGCATTTGTGTAAAAAGTAGAAACATCATACATTGTAAAAGAAGCTTCAGTTTTAAGTAAAAAAAATTTGAGCAGCTTGCTATGTATTTTTTATTTACAGAATTCCGTGATTATATTTAACCACTTCAGAGCCTAAGGCTCTTCCGAATAAGTAACATGTCAAAATCTTTCATTTCTAATTAGAATACTATAGAATGCTTTAGTTTAATAATGCCCTATCATAAATTCCCTTCAGCTAAATTATTATCAAGATTTTTCACTCTCGATCATAAGTTCATTAAATTAATTTTGATCATTTTTCTCATGGAGGGGCTTTTGTGGATAATTAAAACGATCAGTATTTTTTCCTGATTTTTTGTTCTGTAGTTGAATAAAGTAATTAGAGCCTTTAAGGGACTTTCTTTGGATAAAAAAGATTTTTTTTTCAGAACTTGAGAAACTTTCTCTAGGATACTAAAATTATCTGAATCTTTAAAAGACCTCCTGTGAGATAGTAAAATTGTCAAAACATTTGTGAGACTTTCCGTTAGGTAGTAAAATTATTAGACTCTTTGTGAGATTTTTCGTTAGATAGTAAAATTATTAGATTCTTTGTGAGATTTTCCGTTAGATAGTAAAATTATTAGACTCTTTGTGAGATTTTTCGTTAGATAGTAAAATTATTAGATTCTTTGTGAGATTTTCCGTTAGATAGTAAAATTATTAGACTCTTTGTGAGATTTTCCATTAGATAGTAGAATTATTAGACTCTTTGTGAGACTTTTCGTTAGATAGTAAAATTATTAGACTTTTTGTGATACTTTCCGTTAGGTTGTAAAATTATTAGACTTTTCGTGAGACTTTCTGTTAGGTAGTAAAATTATTAGACTCTTTGTGAGACTTTCTATACGGTACTGGCCCAGTATGGCCAGGTGGGTAGGGGCGTTTGACTCACAATCTGAGGGTCGCGGGTTCGAATCCCCGTCCCACCAAATATGCCGTGAGAGCTTCCTTCCCTCTAGTGTTTCACTGTTAAATTAGGGACGGCTAGCGCAGATAACCCTCGTGTAGCTTTGTGAGAAGTTCTAAACAAACCTAATTGACAAAATTCCATAATCGTTAGTAATATGGGTATCTAAGAAGCTTCTATGTTTTTCTACCGTAAAGCTAATGTTGTTTGTTGAGGCAAATGAGAAATTGTAATACATGGTTCTGGTTCTCAAAGATAATACAACTATCATCAGAAATTGTCTTACCTTCTATATATGATTCTGTGATGTCAGCACATGTATCGTTAGTTCCATCACAAACACTGCATACGTCTTTCACCAACAATTCCTGGCTAAACGTTTGTTCGGAGCAGTCTATATCATACGGGTACATGATGCTGAAGATTCGGCTTATGGAACTGTTTTCCCCAAACATCTGTGCAACATCCAAACATGTACTAATTTATATGTCAGGTAATGAGTACGAAATAATAAAAAAAGATTCTAGTTTTACAAATATAAATCAAAACTAATACATAACTTTTAAAAGTCCATTTCTTAGAAGCAAAGGAGAAGTAAGCACTCAAACAGAAGGAGCAAACACGAATTTCTTAATTTAAGGATAAATCTAAAAAAAAATAACGAAAATTGCTAAAATGGAAGCTAAAACGTCAATTTAGGACGAAGAAGAAATATGAAATAGAGTTGAAAGAAACTGAATACGAAAATTAAACTTAAGAAGGAAATTTATCGACATTGTTTCAAAAACTGAAAAAAAATAGGTGTTCTAACGATCTTAAACGGTATAGAAAAAAGAAGAGAAATGCTGTTTAGAGGCATTTTCAAACAATTATTTACGTCTATTTATTTCGTCATGGATTTTTTTTTTTACAGAATATTAATAATTGGGCTACATGTTATTATATATTCTAATGACCGATGCATCTAGTTGCATACTTCACACTTCAAATACAAGAAAAAATTAAAATACACGTTTTTATACACTTTGATTGTCAAGCACCTCACTTAATCTTTTGTTAAATAACACAAAAATACCATAGACTGTTCACTAACCTTGATTAAAAAAAAATTGGAACTATTAGAAAATTTTTTGTTGTAAGAAAATAAGCAATTTCGTGTTTAACTGCTTTATGGTAAACTTTAGGTTTTACATTAATTAATTAATAATCTTTGGAAATTACAGAAAAAATCAAGTCTGTAAGATTAAGAAAACTCATATCAGTCAATAAAAATATAAAAAGAATGATGATATTAAAGTAATATATATTTGCATATTTTAAGAAAATAATACAGATTACTTGAAAATTAGACATTTTAATTTTTTTCCTGCAAGAAAGAAAAAAAATCAAATAATTCTTTCTTACTTTTTCACAATCCGACAGAGAGAAAACCATTATTTCCGGTAGCTTTTTGGATTTGGTAAACTCAAAAACTGTAAATAACAAATTGTCACTACTCTTTGAACTAATTCTTGAGGAAATTGTTAGAGGGCTCCCGGTGCCTCGATATCTCACAGTGACGTCTGGTGACAACAAAAGCAAAGACAGGTTCGAATCTGCATATTTATATTGTTTCATCATCTCACATATATCTAGCTCATCAGAAAGGCTTCCATTAGAAAATTTCGTCGTTGCTTGAAGTTTTGTTGACATATCTTCCCACATACCGTTCCTCTCTTTCACTTCCCATTTTCCTGAAAATTATTTTTTTATCATAACGTTCAAACTATAATTAACTATTCTCTGCGAAAAACCCTTTCTAACACTTAGCTTAATGTAGTGAAGCAAATTCGTTCATAATATGTCAAATCCGAAAGTTTATAGTTAAAATAATACATTAAGTTTATTAACAATTTTATTTATACTGTTGCAGATCACAAAATACACTGTATAAAAACCTTACTTTTTATTTTATCACATGAGAAATCTTTATAGTTTATTGTAATGAAATATAAGAAATTCTAAAAGAAATGATTTGAGAATAAAAGTTGGTAAATATATTTTTTGATTCATTTTGCTTTGTCATTTAATCAAATTCTGTTTCAAAAATTTTGAATGGACAAATAACACTTACCTAGGTTACTGTTTTGTACCGAAAGAACTGCTATTCCAAAGGTGTTTAATTCCTCGGGTTCATAGAAGAGTTCACCAAGTTCCGAAGCTTGAATTCCGTGGAAGATGTTTGAAACTGTAAACCAGTCTCGTCTATCATAAGGGGTAATTCTTGGAACTGGCGGATGTGATTGTTTGGTTTCATTATGAGGGTTAATCTTAACGATAATCTCTGTGTTATCTAGTTGAAACTCCTTCTGTTTATAATTTAAGGACATCAGATACAACGATAAACAGCTAGAGCTTTGGATACTCGAGAACGTAGCAATTTTAAGTGTATCATTGAATCCCAATTCATCTTCATTGTACAAGTTATAATATCGCCATCTAGTGAAAAAGAAGGAAAATGATATAGTTTTAAAGTTATAAAGCACTCATTAATCTGTTTTTTATTCAACCAGTATTCTATACTTAAATAATATTATTTGTCATATTATTATATAGAAAGTTTAGAGAATTTCAAATAAAGACAATTATATTCAAGGAGACAGTATTTTGTTCGAGTAATATGAAATTCCCTCTTGTTTAAAATATATTTGTTAGACTTTTCTATATACTTATCTAGTGTATCAAGTCGTTTGAAAAATATTATAAAATGTTAATGTTCCTACAGTCAGTTTAAGAGTTCTAAGTTGATTTGTTTTAAAGGAAAACACAGTTTTTTCGAAGCAACAATTTAATTGTAAATATCACGGTAATCGTTCAGACGAAAATGGCATGACGTTCATATTTATAATCATTAAAAGATATTTTGTGATATGTAATGAAACACCAAGTATTCTGTCTATGTAGAACTGGATTTGTAACACCTGTGTTGCTTAGGCTTTCTCCGTTTCATTATAAGTGGTACATAGTTTTCTGTGGATATACTGTCACAATATTTTGCCACAAGCCATGTTGGTCTCTCTAAATACGACTTGATGACTGTTAAGTGTTGCCTCCAGGCACTAGTCACTTTCCCCATAATCCACAGTTCTCTGTCAGTTGGAAATGCTGTTAAAATATAAAAAGAAACTCGATATAACTGGTTTTTGTTAAGAATGCTTGTTTTTTAGGGATACAAGTGCGAAATCGAACTACGACATAAGTTATTTAACTGTATTACAGTTTTGTTTGTGGTATGTTCTGCCTAAGCTGGTTGTCCACTATAACTTACATGAAAGGAGAATTAAGATGTTTATCTCTAGAACATAAGTTGGATTTTAAAGATACAAGAACGTTATCCCTTCTCAGTGCTATATTTCAAACGTATCTTATCAAAGGCTATACGCATTTAAACGAACACGCTATTTCTACAGTGTCGGAGGCTTACAATACAAATTATGAGTGGATATGTTTCTGAAAATATAGTAACATTTAATTAAAAATCTCACCACCGCTGTTTCGTAAAATGAAACATTATAATTTAACTATCCATACCGGATTTTCTTGTCCTATTTTACGAAGCTAATTGTTTCCAATTAATATAGAATAAAAAACCACCTTAAATTATTCTTCAAGTAAAATTTTGATTCAAAAAGTTTATTTTCACTAACATTTTGTATTTGAAATTACACCCATAAAATTGTTGTTTCTTATTAAGCACAAAGCTATACAAAGGGCTATCTGTGCTCTGCCCACCACGGCTATCGAAACCCGGTTTCTAGTGGTGTACTGGGGGGGGGGGCACACTCATAACGTCAAAGCAAGTCTTTTATATTACAAAAAAAAAAAAACTCGCCAAAGGCAGGATGTTGAACAGTTCTACTACTTAAAACATTATTTACTTTTCCTACATATATACTTACCAAATTTCAAGGTTGTTGGAATAGGAAAGCTGTCTACTAATTCGTTTACTTTAACTGACAACGACTTCCCCTGGACAATTTGAATAGTAGAAGCCTTTTGAGTCAATGAGGGCAAACGGGAGGATGCTGGGAAAAATATCACTGCAGCTGCATGAAATATTCCACCTGTATGAAGTTATGAGACAGAAAGAATTGTAGTTCGATTTTTATTATTTTTTATACAAACGAGTTCATAATATATATATATATATTCACAATAATAAATGGAACGAAACTTCCCATTCTTTAATCACTCTAACATGAGTCTAACAAGACAGGTAATTAGGATCTTGTTTTATTCAGTACTGGTAAAGAAACTATCATCGACTTCTGACGCAGAAATCAATATCATCGTAAAACTATAGTTCCTGATATTAGTTCTCTAATCATACTGCATAATTATCTAAAAGAATTAGAGACTAAGGCACGAGCTCGCGTGACATTAGGAAGTTTATATTTCTTACACATATATTCGTAAAGGCACATGTAAAGATACAAATGGGCAGAGAAACATATACAACTCAACACTAGTCTGATCTGCCTGCGTTTGTAAAAACCTACTGTTATCTTTAAGCAGGAGTCTAGCCACACAGCAAGTGATTGGTTCTAAGGGAAGAAACTTAATTTCGGAGTTTCCGCTGAGTCGTGTTGCGGGAGTCACCTTGAACCATTCCGAAGTATTTTCATCTAGAAACGTAAATCACCACAATTTATAAGGAAAAGTTTGAAAAAAAAATCCAAAAGCTAATTTTTATCACTTTTAGTTTTTATCGTAATAATAACGAAAATTCTGTATTAAAAAAACAGTTTACAGTGATTGTTGCAATTCAGTTATCGATAATCTTAAACACAAAAGAAAACCAGCAATTTTCTATTAAAACATAAAATATATAATTAACATAGAATTTAGTGTTTCATTAATGTAACTTTACAAAATTAAGTTTATGTTAGTTTGTGCAGTATAGTGTGATAAGGATTTTTTACAAATCAGAAAGAAAAAAAAAACTCTTACTTAGATCAAATTATTATTTCATTTACCACAATGAACATTTTATTATTATTATGTTTGTTAACAAAAATACAAAGAAACTGAAGAAAAGGGAAGAACATTGATGTCAAACAAATGTGCATCCTCATTCATCCTAATTTCTATTGTGAAATGTAAGTCTTTTAGTCTCAAAACTACGTGTTTTGGTCTTTCTTTTATATATTGCGTTATGACGTTTTGGGAAAAATCTGTACGTGATGGAGAAAAATGGATATCATTCTCGGATTCTGCGTACAAGAATTACTGTAGAACATGTACAAATTTCAGGACAATAAAACCGGGCCTGTGTAACTATTATTCTTTCTTTCGCCAGCCTACAGCAAAAAAAAAAAGGCTTTGTGTATTCATCGAAACCTTTTGTACAATACTAAATACGGTACTGCGAAGGTCGTAGGGGTACTTAAAAGTAGATATTTATCTTCTATATTTTATATAAGCTAATAAACGTCATAATTCCAGTGTAAACGATTTTATCATTATTCCATGAAAGTTAACTTTCTTACAAATGTCTGGTGTTCCTTTAAAAAGCTTAAGTACAGGATGAAACAGGAATTACCGGCCAATAATAGATGAATATTAGATGAATGTAACATGTACATACCCAATGCTTTGTACACTATACAATCGGTGTCTTTAGGGAGTCAACCCCTATATTATGTATTAAGTGAAGGAGTAAAAAAAAATCAATATGCATAATATTAAATTTTGTTACACACATTCGTAGAATAATTACTTGAAAAGACACGAAGGTTTATTTAAAGTGGTGTTTTAGATGTATATATTTTATTTGAAAAGGCTTATTTTTTACTGGGAAAATTGTATACGCGCTTAATGGGGGTTGTGTTTTAATCCAGCCATATATTTGCCCATTACTATGCATTATATATAAAAAAATTAGTTACACAGATATTATAAATACTCACTATATTCTCAAATAAATCTCCATGACAATCTCCAGCTGCAGCTTAACATTTTACATATCAAACTAATGCGATCAAATAGTCAATAGCTACAGTAAATCATCATGAACTGTATCATCTAGCTACTAGCTATGCTTATTATCATTACAATGTATAAAGTTAGTTACTATATCAAGTAATCCTTTGCCCATAGTTGAGCATAAAAAGCCAGCAAACAATATGAATAAAAAAATTGAGAATTTAAAAACCCGCAACTAGGGATCGTAAAAAACAACAACAAGAAAACAAGGCTGGAGATACTTCAGATATTATTTATTCAATTTACAAACCTCTATATTAGCTCCATGCTGTTACCTAGAAATATATTTGGTAGAGTCAAAATAGAGATTTGTAAATAATATCTACAGTATCTCCAGCCTTGTTTCCTTGATTTTTAAGCGATCCATTTTTGAAGTTTATTAAATTCCCAATTTTTTAATTATCTTTTATTAAGATATACGACTTAAAGAATTTAAGTAAGATTACAAAGACTGCGATACTCTAATTCGTCAGATAGGTTTGTTTATAGGAGGCGTCAGATGGGTGACTTTATTTTTGTATATTTTACATCTGATTTTAAGTTACAAACTTTTATGAAACTCCAAACCATAAAAAAACCTAATTCGTTATA